AAGCTGAAATGGCATTATATATGTTTGTATATAATGTCATATATATATATATATATATATGCGTGTGGGAAAAGATGATGTAGGAAAAAATGTGAAAGTCAGGCACAGTGTAACAGACAACTTTGAATCATAGAGGGAATTGAATCTGCATAGTGAAAACAGTGGCCTTTGATTCTCAAAACAAGTATTAGTTTAGCTTCTGGAGAAGCTAATACTGAATTCTTGCTTTGTCCCAATATCCTACTTGACTTGGATCTATCGCTTCTCCTTCCAGTTCTGRTGGTGCAGAGAGATTGCCATCATAGGCCTGTGAGTGGAATCAGTTTGGTTTTTCTGTCTCCTATCCATGAAGTGTACAACTCTCAATTACTCTCAAACTGGCAGTTTCTAGGTAATCCCGGGACTTCCATTTTAGCTCTGATGCAGATTACTGGGATTCCCTTTTGTAGAGACTTTAYAGTTGACTTTAATTTAATTCAGGTGTGTAAGTTTTTACACTCAAAAATCCTCCAAGAAATGAAATTACTATTGTCTATCCAAGGTCTAGGGGGCTGACACGTGAACACAGAAACAGCAGCGTTCCTATTTCCAACATATAAATACAACTAGAGGCATGTATAATTTACAATTCACTATTTTCATCTGGACTATGTAGTTTGTGAGACCCAAGCTGAACTAGATTCTTTCTGAATAATTTGAGTTCACATTATTGAAGTTTGTCAAAGATCTKATTATAAAATCTCTTGAGGGGTATGTGTGTATACACATTCATTTAGCAGCCTGTAGTATCATGTACGGTCTTAACGATAGTGAAATGTAAAACATAGTGTTGCTTGAACATTTAGTCCAATAGACATACACACAAGAAACAAAAAATTCAATGAAATCTTTGAAGCCACCAACTTTTGAGCTTTATAAATCTTTCTCTTCTCCTTTCATTGGAAACACGCTATTCTCTGACCCCAAAGATAAAATCTTAGGCACTGACTGTCCTTATTCGTCTATATATCCTCTATACTCTTATCGTGTCAAAATAACTGTCATAAAAATAAGTACAAAAGCTGATTTTTCAAAAAATCATAGGACTTGCTATTGCACCTCCATTTCCTCTAGCTATGTTAAGTAGGTCTGCAGGAAGGCTGCCTATGCAATATAAACACTGCTASTGCCATATTCTCTTCTCAGATATTTCCATGGGAACCATAGCTTTGTAATTTGGTTGCTGTCTATGATGAACCCTTTTATTTCCCACTAAAAGATCTAGTAATTCATCATAATTCAAAATATCTTTTCAAGGGTATAAGTTTGATAAAGACAACCATTCTGACTGTTTACCCTTTTATTTCCCACTAAAAGATCTTTCCTTCCCTTGCTCCTCAATCCATCTCCCCTCCCTTTTTTTACATCAGCTCTAAAATCAGATAAGCAAAGGTCAGTGTCACTGCTGATGTTCGGAGGGAAGGGGGAAAACTTCCTTCTCTTTTTCTTTCTGCTCACAGGGTAGGAAATGAGCAGGTGGAAACATAGTTTTTAAAAGTGCGTATCCGCAACTCGTGGATTCCAGTGCTGGGTCATAGGGTTTAAAACATTCAATACTGAGCTAWGGCAGATAGAAAAAAAATGACAGTGCTTAAAGCCAGAGTTCTAGTGCAGTTTATGTGGAAATTTAGTATCTTATGTCTAAATGCGACAGTTCTTATCAGTAACACTATCACTGCTATTGGGTTAAGCCCAACTAGATGACATTGGCCCTATTGAACCCCATTTTACTGGCATGTTTCCATCTTTAGGGTACAAGAGCTTGGCTGTTTACAAGTGACTATTAGAGGGCCCATCTCAGGAAYGGATGCAGTGAGAATGATCTAGAGGGGAAAAGTAATTATAAATGTTAAGAGCAAATACAGAAGTAAAATTGGATTACTCAAGAAGATGGAGTTACAGTAGTTGAGAAGAAAAATCAATTGCATGAAACAAACTGTGGTGAGAGAAGATCTATGGAAGCTGGATGGCAGGTTTATAACCTTGGTGGTCAAGGAGTATTTCATAATCAGGCAACACATAGCTTTTTAATATGGAGTTGTAGAATTCACAGGTAAGATGTAACCATTGCTAACACACCAACTTCCCCTGTTGAACACTATTGATTGCTAGAAGAAACTAAACTACCATCACTACTAACAGAATTAAGCTCTTTTCACTTGGAGTTATCTCCTCACCCCAGAGTTTTGAAGTATAACATTACTTTTTCAATGTATTATTGTATGATCTGGCCCATACTAATTCAAGGAAAGCTGTAAAAATTCTTTTGGTCTGTGAACCATTTTCTCTCATTTTCTTCTAGAGAAATGTGCCTTTGGTTACCATTATATTTCTTCCCTCATAAAGACATTGCATGTTCTTCTGGAAAATGATTGATAAAGACAGGTGTTATTTAAATGATGAAGCATGTTGTAATTTGGCCAGTTTTTATATTGTTTCCAAAATTTAGGCTAGTTCATCTAAGCTAATGAAGCATTTTCTCTTTGATAAGACTAGGTTATACTCTGATAATGTTGTCCTGAGACTTCTTTTCCTAATGAGCAGGAGTCTATGATGCTTTGGAAGAGTTAAGGCTTATTCTGACTTAGTGCGAGAGTGTGGTTTATTACCTCCAGTGAAGGATAAAGGAGATTAAATTGGCAAAGGAATAGTACTTTCTACATATTTTAAGTTACATGAGAAGTTGGCTGTTTTCAGAGTAAATCGTGATTTGTTTTATTTCTACTTTCCCAAATGTTCTTGGAGTTTCAGAATACCATGTTGAAACATTTTGCTGCTGTTCAAGCTCCTTAAGCTAATCTCTAAATGTAAGTCTTCTAGCAGGATGGACACATTTTTCTCTATCCTTTTCCATTTTGCCTCCTGTCATTCAGGCAAATGTTTGTACTAGAATCTCTCTGTTAAGCAGAGAGTCTGCTGTTCAAAGAACTGCTCTCTGTAGTTTTGCCATTTTATTGCCTCAGAGGCTGATGGAGAGAAGCTGCTGGGAAGGGGCAGACAGTGTAGGTGGGCTGTAAGGTGTGTGTGCTCAAGGCAGAAAACCATTTTCAGCTATTTCTACCTGGCTTTCTTCTTCACTGCTATAAAAAGAAATTTCCTCCAAAGGAAATACTGGATTTTCCCCTTGACGATCTCTCTTTGATTGTYGGGACTTAATGAACAGCAAACCCAGAAACAGAGAAAAGTGAGCTCTATACAGATCTCTCTCTTCCAACTGAAGAAAAAGCAGATTTTGCCTCTTCTTTTTGTAAATTAATTGAGTCMCTTATGAGTCCCTTTTCCTTCCCCACTCCAAAAAAAWGTCCTCAAAAACTTAATGYTGGAATTCGCTAACTGATGTTAAATGACGCTGCTTCGGCACCAGGGCTCCGGGGCCATCCACCCCGGGGTTACAAAGCACCGACACCAATGTAATGGTATGCTAAGTGAGTTTATTGCTTGCTTCTCACATCCTTTATAGTTTCCCTTCTGGTGGAAGCACTGCAGGCGATGACCGATCYCCAATCACAAGCGTAGCCTGGCAGTATATCCTTATTTGGCAGCGCTATAGRCATGTCCCTAATCTTTCTGTAACATCGTGAGATCTTCCGAACGCCATGCCTTATACTAAATCCTGTCTTATGCTAACTCAATTAATTATGCTAAGCTCCCTACACTTCTAAGCTCCCTACAACTTAATTCACTTTTTAATCTTTAAAGTAATAAATAATAATATGAAGTTCGCAGTGGCTATTTGTCCCAAAGACTTCTGTGGAGAGCCTAAGGAGAATGGGAATTTTCTTTGGCCAGAGCTAAGTATGCAGTTTTCAGAGAGAGACCTATAGTCTGTCATTTTTATGAACAAAAAAATWCTTTGTAAAACCATGGCTTTGCACAAAATTTAAGTTATTACTTACACATCACAGATGATACTGTACTTCCCCTGTCTGCGTATCTGTCCTATAGAAATGCCGCTAACTAAGCTTTGGAGACCAAATTCCTAGAGTGTAGCCATACAAAAGTGACCTGATTCCTGTGTAGTCTAGGGGAGTCTTGCAATTGCCCAAGCTACTGCACAACAGGGCCATCAATCCTCATCACATCCTCCAGCCCATCTCTAACTGTAAACATGCATTTTCAGGGGTGTGCAGTAAGTCTCACACTATTTCTTAGGCATTGCATACAGAACATAATTCATTAAAGGATTTTGTGGGGGAGTCCACTGCTTTATACGCTCCTGCACTAGAAACAGGTACCTGCTAGAGGGGATGGTTCCTGCCCCTTGCAGCGATCACTGTGCCAAATTTTCTCTGGAGGAAGCRAGAAGAGGAAATCTGCTACAGCCTCTATCATATGCCTCTGGCTTTTTACCTTTTGCTACAAGGYCAGTTGCTTACGTAGAATTCCTGCTCTACTGTTCCTGGCTGAGCTCCAGACCAGGTTGACAGATGTCCTCAATCTGCATAGCAGCCATCTGTTCAGAGCCTGGGAGGCTGTCACGAATCATGGAGAGAGTGTGGTGCAGATCATGCACAGGCAGCAGATGCCATTTTGTCCTTCAGCAGCTGCTCTGCACATTAACTGGGGTTTCTGTCAGCTTGGCCACCCTCTTGCCAACACAAATCATACCTTTCCAAGCTACCTCCAGAGCTGATCACTGCCAGGCTACATCAACACACAAGCAGAGAAAGGAGTAGCTTTCACTTAGTGACAAAATGATCTCATATGAAGTCCAGACTGCACAAGGCTGCCCTTTCTCTTCCGCCCCAGATGATCTTGCCTGTGTTCTCCAGTGCATAAACAATATGATACTTGGCTGATGAGATTCACAAAACTGCTTCACTCTTCCAAATGACCCCAGGGGATGGRACATGATTCTCAGGAGAGAATTGTTCTTGGACTGACACAAGACTTTTGTGAGAAACATTTTTGCCATGTGGAATCGCTAAAACCCCAAAGATTCAAACATTTCTGAACAAATGAAAACTTCATTCATTGTTTTCAGAACAACTTTACATGTGAGAAATAGTCTTTATAGGAAGAGGCAATACACAGCAGAGGGCAGGTGGGGGAGGTCCTAGAGATCTAGTGCTGGACATCTGCCACCATAGGCCTGATAGATGAGACTGGGTAAAGGTCTTCTGGAGAAGTTTCTCTTAATGAAATAGGATGTCCTCTGCTTTTCCAGACAAGTGACTTGCAAGAGTGCATGTGCACACAGGGCTCAACTTTGAGGGTTATTTAGGAAATGAACCTGGAAGAACAGTATGATCTTCAGTCGAGTKGTCTGCTCTTTTCAGTAGTTCGGGTTGTTTCTGGATAGCTGTACCAAGGACAAGGAGCTTTTCCGGGAGGGATGAATCATTCTGTGGGAGTAAAGAGAAAAATATTTTGTCCTGGACAAGAGTAATCTTTTCTTACCTATGCAGATGAGCAAAAAGTGAGATAAGAGGTGTTGTGCCCCAATGGTGCAACCAATTCCTAGGCTGCCTGCATGTGCTCCAAGAGCTTGTGTTGTGAGTGCCGACACTGTTCACCAGCCTGGGTGCTTTTATTCAGGTAACTGTAAGTAGCAGTCCAGAAGAGCAGAGACACAGCTCATTTTTTTTCTATTCATCTTTAAAGAAAAAAACATGGAAACAAAATCATGACTTCATATATAATGCAGATCAGTTTGCAGAGGTCCTATAGCCTTTCACATAGCCTTTGTGACATACTGTGGGAGCAGAACCTGAGAAGATCCAAATGAGGAAAACTTACCTTTAATATAAAGTTTTGGAAATATGCATACCAGTTTTAAGCTGCCTTTGTACATTACAAGGTTAAAAAAAAAAAAGAGACCGGCATTCCTTTTCCAGTRCAGTTTGTTTTTTCTCTAGAAAATTTTCTCTTGGTCAGTGTAAGATAGATTTAAAAATCTAAAGAAAACAGCTGAGTGAAAAAAAAAAAAAAAAAAGSTGTATAAATACATACCAGCTTACAGTTTTCAGTCACAGAGCCTTTAAAAAGACTATTTAAATAGGTAATATATAAGTAAGAAATTAGTTTCAAAATATAACTGTGTACTTTCTGATTTCTTTCTTTTTTTGGCCATCTCACATGGGGAATTTGGGAAAAAATTAAATGGAAATGTTGGACTATAGGCAGAGAAGTGATGGTGGTATGAATTTATGCCTGTTTCTCTCCCTATGAAAGATGCCCCTGCAAAATATATTTGTATAAACAATACAAATATACATATAGCTAACAAAAATATTACCATAATTAATATAATTAAGTTTAAATATGCAAGCTAATATATTTTCTATTATATACAATTTAATATATTGTTATATATTATATATAATTATACAAGCAATATAATATGATTATATATACCATATAGAATATATAAAAAAAGCTCCCATTCCACCTCAGTTGGGTGAATTTCTGGTAAAATAATTAGAGAAAAATCATCCTGAGARTAAAGCTGAACTCTACTGTATACGCTCATACGCTGTATGCTCAGCTGTTGAAAAAAACATAGATCATATGAGGACTATGAGGCAGTGAAAGCTCTCCTACCTCCACAGAGTTTGAAGCTGATGGTGGTTGTGATGTTATACATTTAGATCTTGACAATGTCATATATCAATGACATCTCAGYGTTTTGGATATGTTCAGCAGAAGGTGATCTTTACTGTCTTTTAAGAGCTTAGGAGCTTATRCACTCTCAGTTCTTATATACAGATGAGGTGAGCAGCAACTCTTAAAAGGAAATACTTAATGTTGGATTTGGATTCTGTTTAATGTACATTTTTTTTTATTTCATTTCTTCCCTTTCAGATAGGATATGACCATTATCTGAGAAATGTGAAATTAGTTTGCTTTGTTCTTTAGAACTCTCTTGTGTATGATAAATATCTAAACAGATTGTATTGCTATTTATTTATGGAAAAATAATTTGAAAGATGAAATCATGAACTTCCTATAATAAGGCAGAAATGCTAGAGACAATAATTTCAAAAAGTACACTTGAATCACTGAAGTATCTAACAGAAAACCAAATTAAGTCTACTACTTGAATATATATTATAAAGATGCTGTTTGTATGAAGAGTCCTTCTGAAGCCTCACATTGAGATATCTTTCTGTAGTTGCAAAGAAAGAGTATATGGTATTATCACAGGTACTATAGTATATGTTACATATATGTTATTTGAAGTCATTTAAATAATTTCCTCAAAGACAACTTCAGACAGCCCAAACACTCTGAATTTTCTTCTAATTCTTCCAGTTACAGTTAGTATAAAAACTTCCAACTGAAAGAAAATTGATTTCTAACCATCAAAATGTTTCTATTTAATATACTTGTTCTATTATTATTGGTAGTCAGTTTTTAAAGCATTAGGAAATCTCCGCTGAGGTAAATGGGAATAGTACATAAAAATAAAGTATATCTGTAATAACCATTTGAGAATGGGAATTTACAGAAGAGTGGTTATCATTTCTACAACTGTGTATCAAAAATTACTTTTCTACCTGTTTTGTGAAAATCAGCAGCTGAATGGATGAAAGACCCAAATTAATGCCCTGTTTAAGGGGAAGGCAGGGGAAGAACTAAACTGTGATATACTCTTTGACTGTAGCAGTCTGGCCAGGCATGCCCAGAGTTAGAAGTGCTTGTAACATCTGTTGTCTTTTGCCAAGTTTCATAGGGCAAATGCTGACGTTATAGACAAGGAGACAAGGAGAGAGAAAGCTAAGTGGGCAAAGGGCATGAAGCGAGGGAAATACAGCAATTAGTTGAACCACTTGYTTAGTTTTGTATGGGGCTATGTCATTGGTAGCATGCTGACAACAGTAATTTATTATATTAAAAACATTCAAATAATAAGACTTGAAAATGAAAAAGATTAGGGCACTGAAGGCTTGTTAGCAAAAAACAGCTTTAAGCATTTTTTTGCAATAATTAGTAATTATAGCAGTCTCTATTTTTTGGATGGTTATCTTTGGGATGCCTTTACTTTAGGAGGACAAGATGCTGCACATTGCTGTGACCTAAACATATGTCAGTTGCATTACTGGATTACAAATATTTAATGCTTAAGACTGGAATGTTACATACACAGAACTGTCATCATGAACATTTATTATTGAGTTTTTCCTAGCTGGCTTTCAGTARTATTGTCCACTGGTAAACACTGCTGCGTTCACAGCATCTTTTTGCAAATTGTTCAAATTCAGTGTGGCTAAGTTGCAACAAAATCAATAATGTTGCCAGCACTTGAGCAAGAAAAATAGGTGCAGGTATATCTTGTACTGTGGAAAAAGAGAAAGTTGTAGTATGATGGCAAGAAAGATTCATTTCATGTCATACAATTCAGAGTGTTACTTTTAGTTATTTGACTTCTTACTACATGATTGCTGGATGCCATTCCAGGAAGAGGCCTGTTAGATAGATACTAATCCATGAAGGGTCCAGTTCAAATGGGTTTCCTTGGTAGCTCCCAGAAAATTAATCAGAAGGCTTTTTATCAGGAGCATCATTACAGAAGTGAGAAAGATCAGAAGGGTAAGCAGTCTACGGGGACAAGTTTCCTTTTTTTTTTTTTTTTTTTTTTAATAATGTCACGTTTTAAATATTTGTAAGCTAAGAATGTCTTTAGTACAAGACAGCTTGAGTCCTGTTTCCATGCTGTGTAACCTTGTGGTAATTGAAACATCTTTTTCAACTTTGCTTGGCACAGAACTATATAGAACATGTAAAGAACCACATATACTTGTATATGTATATACACATACGAATAAATGCACATTATCAGTAGGATAGCATTAAAAATAGGGATAAGAAATGGATTTTTGAAATAGAAAGTGATAGAAATTACAAGAGATCACTTATGTGTGTGGCGTTCCTAAATGGAGGCAATTTTTGTTATTGCTCATTTTGCTTACATTTGTATTAGAAATAGCAAAAAGAAGAAAAAAGAAACGTGAAAGCTTAGCTTTAGGAAAATCAATGAAAATATGTGTTCAGGAAAGAAGAAGAGAAATTATTGTTTGAATATAAGAAATGGTTACACTTTCCTGTGTGTTTCATAAATGATAGGTAATTTCCAAGGAAGCAATTTCACTATTGAAAATGAGATAATATGAATTTATGTCTGATGGTAGCCTTTTGATTCAGGATATTGCCACAAAACTTACTGAACCTGTGGCAGTTGTTGTTTAGAGGGCTATTTATTCTAAGAAAGAGCTCTGACTGGAAGAAGAAAAAAATCTCTCTTTTTTTTTTTTTGATTTTTGTGTCCAGAAATACTGATTAATAGCATCATGTATTCTYAGTTACATTACAGCTATCACCAGATAAAGCATTACAATCCCTGTAATAGTAATCCTTGATTAAATCTGAACTGAGAAGCAGGAATTCTCTCAGATTTTGGAGATTATAATCTCAATGCCAATAAGTCTATGAGAGGGCAAATGTTTTAAACACTGAGCAATATTGCAAAATACACCTTTGCAAAGGAATAATGATACTTCAGAAAATTCTTTTGCAGGGAAAGAAGGCTAAACAAAATTAACTTGTTTGGCTCTGATTTCCACTTTTAAAAGCTTCCAGCTAAGTATTTGAAGCTAGAAATAAACTCTAGGCATTTGTAGAAGTTCCATCAGCTTTGATATCAAAAGAAAATACGCTCTACTTCAAACACTACAGGCTTCAAATTAGTATTATRACTATGGTGCTATGCTTTTCCAGAAATTTTGTGACTTTGTCAATCTAATTTCACTATTTAATATGTGATAGATATGATGCTCCTGCTGAATTTGTAATACACTGAGGTGAATGATTTTTTGCTTTATTGCTGTTGTTTTAACTAGAGCTACACCAGTTTATGAATGCTGGCTTTTACCTGTCCATTTTCACTATCGAACACTGCTTTTCTTTGTAAACAGTGTACCCACTATCCTATCATAGTGTCATATTCATTTAAGATTTTCTCCACAGATTATTGATATAGGTAAGCCAAGTCAATTTGTTTCTAAAATATTTTCAAACCTTTTTAAACACTGGGTGGTTGAAAACAGTAGAAGAGATGTGACTGGTAACTGCTCTCAAGTATTTTATTCTAATAATACTGCTTTTTTCAAGCAACTAAAGACCACCAAGATTTTAGATTTATATCGAATTACTTATGTTACTGTAAGGGGAGCAGTGTGTTGTAGCAACATTACCTAGAAACTTTTCAAGTTTTGTAGAGCACAAGCATGCATTAAAGAAAGGAGACGGGGAAAGAAAAAGAAGAAAGCAATAGTTGCTCTGTATGCAAATGCCTTCAGAATTTGACCTGTCTGTAAATCTGTAGGCTGGTTGGAACTGTAGCTCCAAGATGTATTTCCTTTAATCATCAAATTATTAATGCTGAAATGTAATTTCTGGCAGTTTAGATGTTAAACATTTTTTTTTTATTACATGCTATTTTATTAGAAAATTTGAGTATCTTGTAGATGAAGTAGAGAAAGGATGAAAAGTGTACCACCTGTATTTCTTTATAATGGGAACTTTAGAGAGAATTTAAATCATTATTATGAAAGAAAGCTTCTCTGAGAATACTGCATTTTTTTTATGCTGAATATAAGGGGTAGTTAAAACATACTTTTTTGAAGTTATGCACAACTGTTCAATCAGCTAAGTGCTGAATTGTGTTCGGTGATATTCACCATTATTTTATATTCAGTTCCACAAATGAATATAAATTCACTCAGACAAATTCAGTCCCTGAAATAGTGATGGAACGCAAAAAACTCCCAAGCCTCCTTTCAGGTTCATGCAGGTACTGGTGCAGAAAGCATTTGCATGGATATTTTTCTCATTCCTGGTAGTCATTTARAAAGCAACAGCAATTGACTCCATGAGTCAGAATGTTCAAAGCCTCTCAAATACAGAGAGGGAGGCAGGCACCTGTGATCAACCGCTAGCACTCACCAACTTTGGTCTTGAAATTGGGGTCCTTGCGTGGTCTGACAGAAGCACAGAGAGCCTCACTCCACATTTTAATGGGATATTTTGGTTCATGGGACACTCACTAGTATTGAATTGGAGGATCAAGGCCTATGGGATGAAAGAGTTATTTCTATAAAACTCATTTCAGAAGGGAAAAAAGAAGATTGTGACAGTTCAAAAACCTGGGGTTTGTTTCTTAGATGATGTATGAGCAGAAACAAGTGATAAAAATCTGCGTTATCTTTTTTTGATTAGCAGCTATGGGCTAATAATAAACCAGTTAGAATACAGTTAATCCAGTGCATTAAAATAAATAAACAGATCATCAGTTGAAGAAGATCCGTAATGATGAAAATAATAAAATAATTTTGTGTTAGATCAAAGAATATCTGTGAAAATGATTATTCAAAGAAAAATACTCTCTGATCTTTAGTGGCGCAATGTAATTCTGTGCATATTTGCAATTTTACATGAGGCAAAACAAATGGACATATGAGTATTTTGATAGTATGCTGCTTCAGGATTTTCTGCTTTTAGGCAGAGGGCAGTGTGTGGACTTGAATTCTGAACACAGCAAATGTGCAGTGCCGCGATTGAGAGACGGGACATAGCTTGATGCAAGCCAAGTGTCGATTTTATTGTTGTTACACACACGTTTATATAGATCAGAAGGTAGCGTGTCTTTACGCGGATTGGGTGCTTCTTCAAATCAGGCACTCCTTGATTGGTTAAATGCAAAAGCAGCTACAAGCAGGTTATAAAAAAGTACTGAGCAACAAATTAAGTCTTATCGACAAACCTAAAGCAGACTAAGTTTATCTACAACCTTGAAACAATACTCCCTTCTACAGCTCCCTTTGGTCAGGACAACCCAGCCTTATCTTGTCTTTCCCAGGGCTTGTGGCCGACAAGTTTCAGCACGTCTTGCTCCAACAGCGGCACTATACTTGAGGCCCTGTCAAGGTTGCTCGAGTCCTGGCCCACATCTCCCCCTTCCTGTTGCACAACAAGAACCCTCCAGTTCTCTTGGGAAGACTCACTGGCTTGCTTCTCAGGAGGTCTGTCTTGGGAGTGGTCCAGTTCGTTGTCCGATGATTGTGGTAATGATTCATGGAAGGGCCGCACACTTTTTGCTGGAATCCATCGAGGGCCTTTTTCTGTTTCGGGATCTCATATGAGCACCGGAGCTTTAGTTTGTGCTTCAAGTGAAGAATTTGCATTAAAGTGTCGAACTATCGGGGGATTATTATCTATTAAAGAACAATTCAAAAAGTTAAAAACATATAAGGCTTTCTGTAGACGCTCCTAAGGGGTAGCAGTCCCTACTCCCCCTTTCTGTTTTTAGCATAGTTTTCAGGGTTCCATGGGCACACTCAACAATGGCTTGGCCCATTATCTGTTTTAACCTGGGTAGGTACCCCTAGCATGGTAGTTTCAATCATTCYACATAGCAGTGCAATTACACAAGGAATACAACGTGTAATACAAATGAATAYTATAAGCAAGAAAAACAGTTCTAGCAACAGCTTTTGCAACCAAAGCGATGCCCATTTGCACTGTGCAAATGGGTCCCAGTTGTCATYGATCTGTTGTTCAGCTTCGTCTTCAAGATCCAAATCTGTTCATTTTTCAGCAGTCTCACAAAATTACTTGAAAAAGTAGGGGGATCCTCAGCCTTAACTTGTACAACTTGATATAGTTTTACAACAGGTCCAAGCACTGCATGCTTTACTCCATGTAATATTAACTGCTGATATTGTTTAAGCATCAACTTATGCACCCCCATATTTGATCCCAGTCTCATTAATCCCCTTTTTTCCCAGTAGACCAAAAATTGCACATCCTCTTCCTCATCATCCACTTACAAATAGTCTTTCAAACATTTTTCTCTGTACTGCAAGCCAAACAAAACTGAGATACCTTCTTTTTGTCCTCCATAATCATTCAAATCAGTTACCAAAAATCACATTTCCTTCTAACATCTTCAAATCATATACCAGCAATTTACATTTCTTTCTTGTTTCATGATCATTTCTCAGAAAAAGCAACAAATCTACATATGGGATTTCATCCCACTTATTCACTTATTTTGCCTCCTGCAAAACAACATGTAAGAGGAGAGCAGGCATCCTTGCTTGGTTGTTGGTTGGTCAGTTCATTACTCAGTGCTCCTGCCTTGCATCCTCTGCTTGGCTCACTTCTTCAATGGACTTCTTGTTTTCCTCTCCTCAAGGCCACCTTMGAGACAAGGCTATGTGCATTGTTACAATAGTGATCAGAATCATTAACTCTTATTTGAACAAATCCAAAAATCATTATGTTAAGTCCAAGCCTTTTTGCMATTTATCAATTCCCGATTTCACAATCATTCATTTCCCCTCAAAGTCTTCACAGCCATGCTCTTGTCCTAAAAGCAAAATCAATAACAGCGTGATTCTGTAGTGTAGCATGACTATCTATATCTGTATCTATATACCTATATACCTATATACCTATATACCTATATACCTATATACCTATATACCTATATCTAAATTATAATAACAATTGTGTAGACTGGGCCAGATAGGCTGGCTCATTGTCCGTTTTAATTTCTCACCCACTAAAGCATAACAATTACTTAGCAACTCCCAGCAAAATGAAGCAGCTACAGAGCAATTACTTAAGAGAGAATATTTTCTAGCCAGATAGTGAGACTGGTCATTCTTCCCATGGTCGAGGTGGCCGACAGGCTCCAAGCTTGCGGGCATCCCCGCAGAGACAAGATCGGTCTCAGTTGGAGTCTCTCCCCGTCTCAGATCCACAATTGTTTTATATCTGGCGTGTCCTGTCACGTAGGGCCCATACGTGTCAGGAGGTGACCAGAGGGCAGGCAAAGCTCCACCTTTATCAATATGCAGCTTTCCCTGGTGTGTGCATACACAGCCACCAGTGAGGGTCTCTGGTCTCACTATGAGGGTCCTACCTTTATTACCTTCATCTCCCTTGCTTCGTGTTTAACCTGTGAACTAGCTTACAGGTCTGCTCCTCTAGCATTGTAAAGGCAGCTAGAAAGTGGCATCAGGCATCACGCATATGACTGCAAGTATGTAATATAAAGCAGCGTTCAGCTATTAGTTGTACTGCAGACCATAGGTCCAAGAGTGCCGAAAAGAGTGAATGTTAGTGACATCGTCTGCAAACCTAGAGGTGTCAGGCTTCAAGGGTTCACCTCCATGGCAGATGATATTGATAACCTGGAGAGGTCTAAATAATTCACTGTGCCTGTTCAGTCGTGATACGGAACATCTGTGTAAGCACTCTGGTGAAAGAAGGCATGAGACAAYCGTGCCTGCTGGAATGTGTCTGGAAGGGTGGCCACCCCAGCGAGGCTGTCAGCATGCTGATCTCCTTCCATTAGAGGACCAGGCAACATTGTAGGAGACCTGATAGGCGTTATAAAGTAAGGAGCATGGTGATGCTTCACGAAATATAAAGATCATTGAGAAAAGCATAACGCCAAGGATCAGCTACTTCCTTCAAGCAGCCTCCTTCTCGTCGGTTAATCAGTCCTGCAACTTACGCTAACAGAAACAATATTAATTACATGTGAAAACATTCRAAAACAGTGAATCACCATCACAAGTTACACAGTTCGCAAAATGTCCATAGACTCAAAAGTTCTGCCACCCCCCTGCCTCGAGACCGCTCAGCTGCTGCCAGCGGGCTAATCTTGGAGTAAGATAACTGAGCAACTTTTGCTCCGTGCCAGAAGAGGGGAAAGAAGGGGGAGCGACCTTGCTTGCTGCCGCTTCCACTGCTTCCCTGTGCCAGGGAGGAGGAGGAGGCATCGCTTTCTCATGGCTGTAGGAGGCAGGCAGAGGAGACGATGAAGGATTTGCTCTGCTGGCTTCTGGCCCTGGGCTCCTGCCTCTTCCTCTGGACGGTTTGAAACGCTGGCTGCGGCACTTGTGTCTGTGCGCGTTGCTGCCCCGCGCTCCGCGATCAGTTTCCCTGCATCAGCTGGCTCTGAAAATTATACTTGGAACGATACTGATTAGCATAACGGCGCCCCTTTCGGCATCTCGGGCAAATCCCAGGGGCCTGGGGCCTGGCACCAGCATTAATGGTCAAACAATTCTTTTTCAGATGGCCAGGTTTACCACAACCATAACAATTTCCGGGCCTCCCGGGGCTTTGCATGGCCGCAAAAGAGGCAGCCATGGCTTCATACTTATGATCCATTGTGCCAAATCTATTACAAGCTTTCACCATTTCCACTAGTGTGGGGKTCGGGAGAGACTTAAGCAATTTTTTGCAATCTACGTTAGCATTTTCTACAGCCAATTTTAACAACAAWATCTCCCGCRCTTCCGYATTGTCTATCTAACGCTCCAGAGCTTGCTTCAGCCTATCAATAAACTGCATATAAGGTTCCCAGGAGTCCTGGGTAATCACAGTAAAGTTTTTTTTTTGCGGTTTTTGTGAATCAGCGACCTTAAGAAGGGCTTTTTTCGCTTCTTCATGAGTCGCCTCAAGAGCTTCCCATGGGATATCCCGGGCTTGAGCTACCGGATCAGAGTGCTGACCTGTACCAGTAAGGTGTTCTATAGTCAGTGCAGCTACGGCAGCCGTGACCCACATAAGTCGTAAGAAGTTTTTTTGGAGTCCCCCCCGGCCAGTGTGACTGCCATAGGGAGTACTGTGTCGGGGTTAGGAGCAATTGTGCGAAAGACATCAAATCAAAACATAGGTATGAAAAACAGAAGATAACAAACTCGCAAAATACGGTGAAGAAAGCCCGTGCTCAGTAACAGTATGCCGCAGCTCCTTAATTACCGAGAAAGGCAAAGCCTCCCACCATGCGCCCCCCGACCCTGATAAATCACGGGGGCTACAATTGTTTTCGCGATCTCAAACTCGCCTTCTTTCAAGGCTTGGCGTTTTATATTAGCCCATACATCTTGTGGGTTAGGGGGGTAGAGGGGGCTCTTGTTCAGGGTTGACTGGACCCGGATCGAAAGGGGGGTATCCCGCAGCACCCACTCTCAAGGGTTCGTTCTTTGGCAGCGCCGGGGGAGCTGTGAGAGGGCATCTTTCCTCCTCCCCTGCTTTATCCTCATTAGTTTTCTCTTGTGCTTTCAGAGTCTCAAAAACAATCCTCCACCAGGGGAACATGTGCTGGGCTTCAGCGTTTCCTGCTGTTGCTTGTCCCATAGTTTCACCCCCACATCATCCCAGAGTTCCCGCGTAAAGACAGAGGATGCGGTTACAGTGGGCATTTTTACTTGTACCCATTTAAGGATCAGCTTGAGGTCATGCCCAGAAATATTCTTTCCATGTTTTTTAAGGAGAGCTTTCATAAACGTCTCTCTCTGGGGAAGATATCTGACTTCCCATGTTTCCCACAGCTCACCTCTCTGCTCCAGTGGGATTGATGCCGACTGGCTCCTGCTTCGTTTCAGCAGCTCATTCAACGTCCTGTGGGACTCGCAGCATGCCACACAGATAGGTGGTTCTYGATCCTTCYGCCAATCCTTAGGATCATGTCGGGGTCACCAATTTGCTGCGACTGAGAGACRGGACATAGCTTGATGCAAGCCAAGTGTCGATTTTATTGTTGTTACACACACGTKTATATAGATCAGAAGGTAGCGTGTCTTTACGCGGATTGGGTRCTTCTTCAAATCAGGCACTCCTTGATTGGTTAAATGCAAAAGCAGCTACAAGCAGGTTATAAAAAAGTAMTGAGCAACAAATTAAGTCTTATCGACAAACCTAAAGCAGACTAAGTTTATCTACAACCTTGAAACAATACTCCCTTCTACAGCTCCSTTTGGTCAGGACGACCCAGCCTTATCTTGTCTTTCCCAGGACTTGTGGCCGACAAGTTCCAGCACGTCTTGCTCCAACAGCGGCACTATACTTGAGGCCCTGTCAAGGTTGCTCGAGTCCTGGCCCACAGTGCAGTGGATGAAGTGACCTCCTGAGCTCACCAACTTCCATTGCTGAATTTGAAAAGAGCATGTTTTGAGGAATAGAAAGTGGGGAACTGCTGGCTATTTCTGCAGTAAATATTGAAAGGGTTTCTGGCTTAAACTAATAATATGTAAGAGAAACACTTCTGGCTTAACTTTTGTCATAAATATTTCAAAGCTATATTCTCTCCTCACTGGTGGCAGTAGTTTCTTGAGGCACAGAGCTCTTTCTCTGCATGCTGGGCTTAGTTAGTATTAAGACTTCTCTTCAGAAAATACCCCCTCCAGAAAGTGTGCAGAATTAAATTATCATCATTGCTGCAGAGCTTAGAAAAAAAACATGCTTGTGTAATGCGGTAAAGATAGACCTCAAAACCAGTTTCTGTGATGTTTTGCAAGACAGAGACTTTCATCATTGGATGAATGTTAAAAGAAAATAGAAGTGTTGCTTCTATTTGTTTGAGTTTTTAAATTAAAACTACTGTGACTAATTCTCTTGTAAGTTCCTCAGGTTTATATCTGTACAGCAGTATTAATTTCAATGGAGTTCCCTCAGATTGAGATAAAATATAGTTTGTTATCTGCCTTGAGCTCACTTTCTTGTGGTTATACTTGACGCACATCTTCYGGTGATTTTCTCCCAGTACACTAGCAGCTGTTTAAGGGTACTAAAATTGAGAGATTGTTGTTTAGCTGCAAACATCAATAATAATAATAATRAACTCCATACATTTTTATTCTTGTGGCTTATTTTATTATTATTAATTATAGAAATTGACAGTGAGAGAGAGAAGTTTCATGGAATTACTTGAAACGTCTATCAAGATTCTTTTGAGCATACATTAAGAAAGTACCTTGAATTATACTAACTGAAAGGAACAGTCAAAGAGTAAAAGTATTTACACTGAATGCATGGCAGGCTGCTAACAACAAGATCGAGCCTCCATAAAGGGCTGCAGTCCAGTGAAAGTGAAGAGTTCAACAGGAGAAAAACAGTGCTCCTAAAGATATTGCAGAAAAAAATATTAGAATAATGTGGCCTTCTCTAGGGAGAACATAATGGTGGCACTGCTGCTTATTTTGGGCATCCAAGTGTATATCTGATTCTCTGTATTTCTATAAACTAATATCTGGGTATTAAATTGAGATGAGCTAGCAGTTTTAACAATAAAGCCTATGTATTTAAATTAAACCTTCCATTCTATCATTAATTTAGTGCTTCTTGAATGGCAGATGTATTTATCTTTTACTGTCACTATAAAATCCTTTCCAACACAAAGCTGCAACCACCACAAGGGAACTATCTCCTCTTTGGAAACAATACAATTATTATTTTTTACTTTAACTATCATAGTAGAATCAAAGAAAGAGGCTTTATAATAAAGAAAAGACCTTCACATATAGAAAAAATATGTCCTCATATAATATATATATATATAATAAAAATTATAAAATTTTTTTATTGTTGCTAGTAAAAGCAAGTGATCTGTCCAGCTATATTTAATCAACTAAAATGAGTTAATTTGCTAATGTATCCTGCCAAGATCCTACTTTCAAAAGATTATAGAGGATTTTGTGCCATATTTACTTCCACTGTAGAAAGAACAGAGATGGCCACTCTAATAATAAGCTATGATGACAGGCTCATGTCTCCCTTGCAGTCTCAGCACTGATTATATTTATGAACCTATGTTATGAAGCTTATGAAGCTAGAATGAAACATTTATCTGGATAAATGTATTTCAGGAAACTGGCCTATCAAGCAAGCCTCTTTTAGTAAAAAATCTTTCATTACGTTGTCAAACACTGCAGCACTAAAAAAGGATATATTACCACATACCTGTTTTTTGTTTTGTTAAATTTTCTTGTTGAGAACCTGAAATGCTAAGAACACGAGGAGCACTAATCATGTTGAGAATAGGCAGGAGAAGAAGAACATCACAGCACTGGAAGAAAAAAGTGGCAGGTATCCAAGTGGTTTGGCAGACTTTCCAGCCAAACCTTCCATGGAGGCTTATTACAATTCTAAAAGGGAATTTCAAGGAGCGTGAGCACTGCCATGTTCTGCCGCTGCRGCAGCTGGTGTGGGCCGAGCTTGGWGACCGCTGTGTTAGCATGGACCTGCATGGGACCTGCAGCCCTGGGCCAGCAGCGAGGCCACGCTGCCGCGGGGCAGGTGGCTGCCACATTCGTGACAATGGTGGAAGCATTTTGGTATTGATGTCCATTTCGTGTCTGTGCTGCGGGGTTGGTTTTCTACCGCGACACCTGCCCAGGTGACTCTCCTGWCCTTGGAGAATGACAGAGGATTTAGGTATCTCCTGCAGCTCTGACTCTTCCACAGAGATGTTATGCTTGAGTTTTCAGAAGCCTACCCTAAGTAGTAGACCTGGGCTTTGCCTATTCATTTATTTTCCACATCACCTGGAAGGCTTTTTTGATGATGGAAACACAGATGGTGGATGAGATGTCAGTCCCCACCATTCTTGTCACAGTACAAATTAAACCACAAGCAGAAATTTAGCACATCAGTACCTTTCTTTTCCCATGTGTTTTCTGAGAGCTGGTTAGCAGCTATATCACTTCARTGTTATTTTATCCTGATTTCCTAAGGGACTGGATTTGTAGGATGCTGCTGCTTTCTGCTACCACAAATGGCTTTTCATGCACTTTTTTAGTTGCAAGAAAATTTGACAGGCAGGTGAAAGCTTTAGAAGAATCTGATTCTGGTAGATTTTATGGAAATAATATGTTGGTAGATTTTATGGAAATAATATACTGGGGAAAGGGGAGAGATGCAAATTACTGACTTGTAGAATAAAAAAGTTGGAGAATATAAGACCATGATGATAGGTGTTTATCTCAGTTAGGTGAAAACCTTCAACCGGAACTTTCCCCTGTTATATATCCAAATGTGAGACAAAGCCATAGGAATTTAGAATTTATTAGTTTTATTTTCATAGATCTGTATATTCCACTGAAATATTCCATTATATTTGCTGTACCTACTTTACAATATGTGGGCTATGGGTATGTATTTTATGAACGAGCTATTTATGATAAACTGTACATTTTTATTATTAAGTTATTTTTCCACCAATTTGATTGTTGATATGGCTGACCTGTGATTGATAAATAAATGAACTTACATCACAGGAGTGAATTTTCTGAGAACTTCTAGGGATTTGAAGGTTCTCTTTCAGAAAGCAGAGTTCATAATTTGTAAAGTTTTAAGGGATCTGTTTTGTCAGTTATTTACATTTCTGGGTATTGTCTTTGTTAATACTTTGCCRTTCTTAGACCTTTCTGTCCATTAAAGATTCATTTTGCTTTTCAGTCATAACCTAGAAAACTCATCAGAATTTCATTTTCATCAAGACTTTCAGTGTAGCTCTTTTCATTACAATGTAGAATGARTGAAAATACAAAATCTGAAGTGCTTCTTCAATAAGAATTATTTTCCTCCACACTCCAACAATGGTGTAGGATCTTATTCAGTTCATCACAAAACACTTTTTACAGGAGAGGGAGCAAGCAGGCTGTAACAGGCATCCCTAACTCTCAACTATGTTTTCTATAAAAAATCATTGAATGATCTTAGTAGACTCTAAAATGGAAACTTTCCAGGTATTAAAACATTATTTCTGCAATAATCTGGAGGCAGATTAAAGGAGAAGAAGAGAATTATGAAATCAAGCCTTCTGCCTGTATTACATTTGATCAAAATTCACTAAAGAGATATCCCTGATGAGAGGAAAGGTAACGGACACTTACTCAAGTAATGTGTAAGTCTGTGGTTTTGTTTTTCTTTTTTTTCCTTTTTTTTTTTTTTTTTTTTTAGTCATTTTTTTTTTTTTTTTTTTTTGGTCACATCATGGTCCTAAATGAGCAAGATGCACTGCTACTGCTGTGAAGCTTTTCTTGCTGGCCTGTTCTGTCCTTGTTGACTCTTCTTATTTTAGATGTGATCATGTTGAAAGTTAAAGTGAAAAAATAGCGACTAGTAACTATAACATGAATGWTCAGACCAAAAAGTGAAATTTAGTCAATCCTGAAGGCGTTGATGCTTTTCACATAGCATGTGCTTCCATGTTCAAACATGTGCGCCAAATTATGCCAGCTGGGAGGACATGTGTCACCACACACCAAATGTAAATTCAGGCTGTAAATTAATTAAGCTTCTTATTTTAGTCTAATATTGCAAAAAGAAGCTTGCGCTGTTGCCAAGGCTATAACAGATTTTTCATAACATATTGTGCATTGACAATTTAATATGAGTAGTACAAATAGTTGTGCAACCAACATTGCAGAGTTTTTTTCCATAGGGACTTTCTTTGTCTCCCTGTTCTGAAAAGCTATTACTGCAGTTCTGTAAGTAGAGGTCACCCTTTCTTTTTGTAAGAGCTCAGCAAGGCAGGGAGAAGCGGTGTGGAAGAAACATCCTTCTGAGGCACCATCAGTATCACTTTCTTTATGAAACTTAAGTGTGTAAAATTCTCATCTATTTGGAAATCTTCTTCTGTCTTTTCATATAAATGTGTTAAATAAAACAKTATACCAGAAAAATACTGAGCAGAACACATTGTAAAGAGAAAAAGACTTCTTGTGTGTGAAAGATAGAAAGAAAGTGAATGGTTCT